GGCAGAAGAAAGGCCACCTGGATTGGCAGGGGGTCCAGTTGCTATCGGATCCCAGAGACGAAAGAGAAATAAGTATTGACTGGAATGCTCCTTGCTTGATATTCCCCCCACCCCACCTCCAGCTGTAAAGCAGTCTTTTCCCAGTGTGGTATCCATGCAGACTGGGGAATTCTGGGGATTGTAGTCCCACCACACCTGGGAGGTGGCACGTTGGAAAGGTGGTTGTAAGGTCTGTGACGAGAGGGGGCCCTTCTGTATCCACCTTCTTCCCTAAGGATCCTTCCTTTCAGGGCACCTTTTTGGGTTGGAAGGGACCCCTGAGGTCATGAAGTCCAACCCCATGCTCAGTGCGGGACCCCCAAAGCAAGCATCCCTGGCCAATGGCTGCTTAGCCCCCTTGTGCATTGTGCCCCCAAAGAAGAGAAGAGGGTCTTTTACCAGTGCCACCCATGCCGAGCTGATCCTGGCACTAAAGAGCACTCTTGAGCAGAGGGAAGGTGTAACAAGAAGTTCCCTTTTTAACCAAAGAAGCCAAATTTCTAGATAGAAAAAGGAGCTTATCGGGAAAAGGGGAATGCAGGAAAAACACAGGAAGGCAACAGTCACAGGATTCATTCAAATTAAATCAATAGCACCGTTGAAGTAGTTTGGGATTATCCACTTGAAGAAGATCTTGCCTTTCAGAACGAGTTCTGAGCTGCCTGCGGAGAGGATGCTTATGGAGAAAGGGTGTCTGGCTCTTCTGTTGGGGTGTGGTTAGGCAGGCCTCCTTGTCCCTTTTCCTATCCTCTTGAAACTATTCTCATGTGGATGCTAAAAGCCAGCGTCTCTGAGCAAAATGCTCTTCCCTGGTGTCTTAGGTCTGGCCAGCCCACCAGAATGTCCTTGGCAGCTGACACTGCCCCCCCCACCCCCCAGCCCATGCAATTGAATGATAAAGGCACCAGCTGGTTGCACTACTGTATGAAAAGAATCATGTGAGGGAGTAAATTATATGGATCCTTGCTTCTAAGCAGAGTGTCAACCACTCAGGACCTTAAGGCGGCATTGTGCCACCCCCCAGTATGGGAGTTTGTTAGCTTAGTGGTATGTGAAAGCGGCCAGTGAATCACTGGGCAGGGTTTATCCTAGTTTGTCACTCTGTCTATTAAACCTACCAACTATTGATAGCTTTGCATTTGGTATCTTCCTCCCCTGCATATTTGAGTTCACACAAGATGCTCAACCAGGCTAAACTGGGTTTAGATGTTGGGGGTTAGGGAGGCAGCCATCGGCTTACCTGTGTGAATCAGGGCATCCCATAGCACGGCGAGAAGGTTGATCCGTTCTGGCATCACGCGTTCCGTGACTACAGCTCCGGTGTTTGGCTGACCCAGGCTCCGTGCGTCGCGTGAACCCAGCCGCTTCTGTTTCAGGGACATTAAGCACTTCAAAGAGGCCCGGAAGGAATTTGAGCGGGGCAGCGAAAGTTTAGCCAGCGCCTTGCACCATAACGCTGAGGTGCCCCGTCGGCGCCACCACGAGGCTGAAGACGCCATGGTTGCCCTCAAGGCCGCTCGCACCACTTTCCGCAACCGAGCCCTCGACTACGTGCTGCAGGTGGGGGTCCACCAGGGCACCTGGCCAAGGGGTTCCCCGTTCTGGGTCATGTTGAGGGCTCGCAGGGCAAAAGGCGTGGCGGGGGGGACACGGGTCGGAGAGGGGGTCCCGTGCCCCACGGGAGTCCAGACGCTTGTCCTCTCTTTCAGATCAACGTGATTCAATCCAAGAAGAAATTTGAGATCCTGAAGTTTGTGAGTAACTTTGGGTCTCCACGGTCTGCCCCAACCTGATGCCGCCTCGGTCTCTCGGACTACAACTCCCAGCATGCCCAGCCAGTCTGACCTTGAGCCTGCTGCCTGGAGAGGGTGGGGCCTTGCTAAGGGGCAGGTAGCTGGGGGCTGGGGGCTAGCTTAGCTTTTGGCACACGTCCACAAAGGCTGCTTCTGTGGGTTGCTGGAGCATTCGGACCTCTGGCTGCTGGAGTTCATGTGAGCGAGGTTTGCTGTGTGCGCAGGGTGACGCTGCAGCACAGGACAGTTTTGTGTTTTGTAAGATGGGGTTGGTGTAGACCAGTGTTTCTCCAGCTTGGCCACTTTAAGACATGTGGACTTCATAGCTGACTGGGGAATTCTGGGAATTGAAGTCCACATGTCTTAAAGTGGCCAAGCTGGAGAAACACTGGTGTAGACTTGTAGAGTCGGCTTGGCCTTCTCTCTTGCATCCTGAGCGTGCCAGAAAACCTCCCTTGCCCTTCTGAATTTCAGCCTCGTCTTGTTTTCAGTGCCCAGTTCGCACCTGGCCCGTGGGAAATACAAAAACAGAGCAACTCTGAGCATGCCTAAAGTTCCTTTTCTTTCCTAAACGGGAGCTCTCTCTTGCGCATTTTGTCTGCAACTCTTCCTGCTTGCCAAGAGCGGTTTTAAGGCACCTTCCGACCCCCGAACCTTCTTCTGAGCGGAAGCCGGAGGTCGGCCTCTCGATATCTCTGTTTCCCGTCTTTCCAGATCTTGTCCTTCATGGAGGCGCAATCTGTCTTCCTCGAGCAGGGCTTCCATGCGTCGAAACAGCTGGAACAGTATCGCAAAGACTTGGCTGCTCAGGTGAGGGGGCCAAGCGGTTCTGGAAAGGGGGGGTCCAGATGCAGAAGAGGTTGCGGGGAGATTGGCTGCCCATTGGCAGCAAGTAAGACCGGAGAGGAAGTGGACGGAAAGGTGCCGAAGGCCGGCCAGAAAGGCTTGCACAAACAGGATGCAGAAATTCAGATTCTACACTCTTTAGCAGCAGAATCTCCCTTGCCCCAGATGCTTCCCAGGGTAGGCTGAACCACATCTGGAGTCCGCTGTTCCGTTCTGGGTACCAACTCCTAAATTGGGAGTTGATAAACCGTGACAAATCCGGGATACAAGAACGCTAGCAAGCCTGCCAGGCCAATCGCTGGCCGAGCTAATGCCTGGCTTGCAGAAGACAGAGAAGACCACCTGCTGCCTTCAGCTCTCTGCAGGACTGCCCCCAAAGCTGGTTGGGGCTCTGATCCTGTCCTCCTATGTGGCGGACGGGCTGCGCGCCAGGCGCGACTCCTCCTGGGTTAGGAAAGGTGCCGGGGTCTAGGATTTTAAGGCAGGTGAAAAACCTTTAACGAGAGGGAGGGCAAGCTGAAAGATTACAAAGACAAAAATTAGCAGCCCGCAGTTTTCCTCCTGCTTTATTTTGCATGAAAATGCCAGAAGTGTGAGTCAGAAGCCCAACCCCACCCCCCGCAAAATCCGTTGGGCAACTTTTACCCATTAACCCCCACCCCCCCACCACTTTGAGGATTTGCAAAGTTGAAGTGATTGGTTGCGGTTTAGAATTAGTAGAAAAGTTTTAATTTCAAATCAGGGTTAGTTCCTTGTGTTGTTACATGCTATTAAAGCAGTGTTGCTCAACCTTGGTGACTTTAAGATGGGTGGACTTCAACTCCCAGAATTCCCCAGCCA